TCACCTCCACCACCAGCCCCAGAACCACTGGCTATCTCCTCTAAAACGCCACAAATACCATCGTCAATCATTGACCCTCTAGCTATCTCCTATCCACCGCCACCAATAACATCACCAATTATTGAACCTCTCAACCCTGATCCTCCATTACTACACCTCCCCCAACCCGAGGCCTCATCCGACCCTTCTCCCCTGCCGGTACAGAACTCTCATCCTATGATTACCCGTTGGAAATCTGGCATTATTAAACCCAAAAATGGGCTGCCACCACTGCCCAAGATTGGTCACTAACTGAACCAACGCGGGTCTCTGATGCTCTTCAAACGCCTCAGTGGAAGGCAGCGATGGATGCAGAGCTTTCAGCATTGATTCGCAACAATACTTGGACCTTGGTTCCATCGTCCACAACTCATAATGTTGTTGGTTGCAAGTGGGTTTTTCGAATCAAGCAAACCTCCGATGGGTCCATTGAGCGCTACAAAGCTCGTCTTGTCGCCAAAGGCTTCCACCAACATCCTGGTGTTGACTATTTTGAAACCTTCAGCCCCGTTGTTAAGGCTTCCACCATCCGTATTGTTCTATTTTTGGCTGTTTCTTCTGGGTGGCAACTTCGGCAACTTGATTTTAATAATGCTTTTCTGAATGGCACTCTCAAGGAAGATGTTTACATGGCTCAACCACCAGGCTTTGAATATTCTACGTTTCCTCGTCATATCTACAAACTCAATAAGGCGATATATGGCCTCAAACAGGCACCTCGGTCATGGAATGATGAATTAAAGTCTGTGTTGTTATCTTGGGGTTTTCAACACTCCAAATCTGATGCATCTCTCTACTACCTACGGTCCAACTCTATGATTATTCTCCTTCTAATCTATGTTGATGACGTTATTCTCACAGGAAATGACATCACATTCATTGATAAGTTCATTCGCATGCTGGATAGTCGATTTGCCCTCAAAGATCTTGGTCGATTGAGCTACTTCCTTGGCATTCAAATTGACTACTTGCCTATGGTCTCTTATTTAGTCAAGCAAAATATATTGACGATCTACTCTCCAAACTAAACATGCAGCATCTCAAGTCGTGCTCTTCTCCCGCTGTCACCGGCACCCAACTCTCCCTTAGTGACGGGCAACTCATGGCAGACCCTTTTTCTCTATCGTAGCATTGTTGGTGCGTTGCAATACTTGACACACACCCGGCCAGACATTTCTTACATCGTGAACAAGCTCAGTCAATTTTTAAAGGCCCCAACTAATGTTCATTGGCATGCTGTCAAACGTGTTCTTCGATATCTTAAGGGTACTCCTACTCTCGGTCTGCTTATTCAGCCCTGTGACCGTCTCACTCTCACAGCTTATGCGGATGCTGACTGGGCTGCTAGCATTGACGATCGCAAGTCTATTGCTGCATATTGTGTTTTCTTTGGTGATTCGTTGATATCCTGGTCCTCGAAGAAGCAGAATGCTATTGCTCGGTCCAGCACTGAGTCCGAATATCGAGCTCTGGCCCATGCCTCAGCTGAAATCACTTGGGTTCGCTAGCTTCTTCAAGAGATTCACTTCCGTCTTCCACTACACCGGTCCTTTGGTGTGATAATCTTGGAGCTGGTGCCTTAGCCTCTAACCCAGTGTTCCATGCGCGCACCAAACACATTGAGATCGACGTTCATTATGTCTGTGACCAGGTCCTTAATAACCATCTTGATGTTCGTTATATTCCCTTTGTTGATTAGGTCGCCGACTGCCTCACCAAACCTCTTGCCCACTCTCAGTTTGCCTATCTGCGTTCCAAACTCAGATTGTTTTTCCCACGCTCTCGTTTGCAGGGGATGTTACGAAGTGCAAGTCACAAGCCAACAACTAACTCCATGATCTTCTCAAAGTCAAGTTATATTGTTAACACAATCTCTCGTTAGTTTGTTTACTAAATTTAATTCTCTCACCTCTCTATAAAAAGGTGGGAGCTTACACTGTAGAAAACACACAGAAATCAAATCATAAACTTCTTATTGAGTTACTTTTTTACTTTTCGTGTTAATTGTTTTCTTAACTGTTAGCACCCTACAACACCCGTGAAGACAGTTGCCAACATTTTATTTTTATTATCCAATTTAATAAATTATTGAAGGTCCGAAAAAGTTTATTTATTTTATTTTTAAATGTCTCATGCTTATTAATTCACATTTTAGAAATAAACATGGGTTAATAATTATGGGTGGCATAAATACCATTGAAAATATGAAAAATTATTTTTGGGAGAAATTTTATGTATTTAAAGAATTTAACAAAATTCAAAAAAAAAAAGAACACTACTCATCCTCCCTTTTTTTTGTTTCTTTTTTAATTGTGAGTGGTTTTTAAAATTTTATTTTTAATTGTTTTATGGAAAACGTTTTGAAGTATTAAAATTAATTTTATGGGGAATTTCTTGTATTTATGGAATTTATAAAAAAAAGACCAAAAAAGATTTGTGAGTTTTAGAAGAATTCACAGAAGTGAACACTGCTAGTTTTATGTGGAAACAAAAATATTTTTTTAATTTTATAAAACTAAAATAAATTAGTGTATTTATGAATATTTTAAAAGGAAAGAGTGAAAAGGAAACTATACAGAGAACATTATAGCAATTTCAAAATTTTAATATTTAAAATTAAAAACATTTAAATCTTTTTTGAACTCTGAGGTACAGCTTGGAAGATTGCATTTACCAAATTTCATAGCTTTAATATTGAAGATTTGATAAAAAAAAAAATTAAAAAGCTATACAGAATCTCTTGAGGTAAAATTTAGAAATATTTACCAAGCTTTGCAATCTCAAAATTTTAATATTTAAAATTTCAATTCCACAATTTTAACATTTAACAAACTAGAAACATCTATCTAAAAAAAATTTACATTTTGTGTCAAACTAATTTGGTGGAGAATTAAATGTTTCAAATTTTGAAAGCATTTTGAAATTTAGATGTTGGGTTTAAAAGCCGGCAGAGTATAAAAAAATACAAACATGGCCCAAGATTAGATAATTATGTGGTCTAAAATCCATAAAAATACAGTAAGTTAAGATTCAAATTATCTACAGATTATTCAACAAGTTACAAAATTTAATGCATATCTCATACATTCAAATTTTAAATAGAATCGACATGGAAAATCAATTAGCAAATCGGTTAAACAAATTACAACTTTATTCCAATTTCAAATTTATGGAATTGATTTAGCAACCACAATAAAAATGGAGGATAAAACATTAACAAAATAAGGCAAGCAGAATATACATGGGAGAAAATATTAACAGCATACTAAATGCGACTTTTAAAAGAAAAAAAAAACTGCTAGCAAGATGTTATAACAATCATACTCCATCCATGAAATTCTTTACCATAAAATAAAAGAAACAAAATTAAATTCTCCTACTAATAAAATACATTTTATAAATTGAAAGATAAAGAATACCTCAATGCTTTAGTGAAATTCCACCGAAATTTTGGAGGAAGAATAACCCTGCAATCTCACTAGATAAATTTCTTAGAAATATAAGAACCAAACTTAAAAGAGAAGAATTGGAGTAACAAAATTTAGTAACCTTCAAATCCCTCTTCTGTCCCCTATTTCAAGAAAATCTAAACGTTTATATAGCAATATGAAACTGAGTGAAAAAGGAATGAAGACAACATGCAAGGGAGGGAAAGAGGAAAAAAAAGGGAGATAGTGGGAGTAGAGTAAACGTGGGAGAAAAAAAATAAATAAATAAATAATCCTTACCTCTGTGAAGCACAAAAGATGAAGGAAGGGAAGGAGAGAACTAACAAAAAAAAATAACGTGGAAGAAAATTAGAGATAAAAGAAAATGTGAATTTGAGTAATATGGAGAAAATAGTGGGAGATTGAGAGAAGGGTGGAGAATGGAGATATGGAGAGACAAAATAAAAGAGATATAGTAACTTAGGGAAATAGTTGAGAGAAAAATAAAAAATTGGATTTTGTTAATAAAAGTGAATAAAAAAAATAGATTTTGTTAAATAACACTCAAAAGAAACATCAGACTAAAGGAATATGCATGAAATGAAAAATAAGTCGGACAAATTACGATATCTACAGTTGGAGTTGTAGTTTTTTCTTAACATCTAAATGCAATCCCCCAATGTATCTTGCAATTTGGTACTGTTCTTTCTCTCCCATATTAGTTCTTGCACCTAAACGATGAAATTTTTCTGTATAATCCATGATAGATCGAGTACCTTGTTTGCAATTTTGACATTGGTTGTAAATGGCCTATTCATAATTGATGGGTAAGTATCTTTCTCGCATGAGTTTTTTCATCTTTTTCCATGTGCAGTTTGGTCTCTTCCCAGATCTCCTTCACTTTTGTCTCTAGTTGATCCCACCAAGCGAATGCTACCCCTTTTAATTTAAGAGCTACAAGTTTTATCATCTTGTTTCTCATGAGTGCTCATGTAATAAAAGAAGTTTTTTAGTTCTTCATCCAATCAAG